GGAGTTGAAGTCCACTCATCTTAAAGTGGCCAAGTTTGGACAACACTGCTCTACAGTATTTAATCAGTAATAGCAGTTTCAATTTTTCTCCCACCAATTATTTTATTAAGCCAAATTCTCCTATTTAATAGTATTAGCTACTTAACTATTAACATCAGTCACACAGGCGATTCCAATTGAGTTGAAAAGCTGGCAGCACATGCTTAATAATGAGATTTAATGCAATTTTAAATCTCATCTATTCACTTTATATCCCACCATACTCAGCAGTACTCAAAGATTTATTTATTTTCCAAACAGGACTGTAGCTCAAGGAGGGAGAACCTGCTTTGCAAGCAAAAGATCCTAAATTCATTGCCTCCAAATGAATTTAGAATGACCGGCAGCTTGAACCTTTCAGATATTATGGGCTGCAATTCCTATACAGCCACTCCTCGTTTAGCGACTACCTCAATTAGCGACCATTTGCAAATACGACAGTAATAAATAGTAATAAAAAATTCATTTTCTGACCAATGTGCGCATTTACCATCACATTTCCTGGATCTTACAACAAAAGCCTTCAGTATGAAACTGATTAAGGTCTGGTCAGTTTCAGGCAGAGGGTTCTAATCAACTAATTAAGATCATAAAGCTGAGCTTGTTAATTTGCCATTGGCACTTTTTAGGGAATCACTGGACTGGAAAGAAAAGCAGCCCAGGAAGAGATAGTTTGTTTAAGCAATCTCTCCATCTTGTGAGAGGGCAAAAAAAAGGAGGAAAAATGGGTCAGGCACAGGACACTGTACAGAGAACTTTATCTGAATGAGAGGGCAGCAACCAATGATCTTCGCAGAGTCTCTCTCTCTCAGTCATGTGTTCACCTTAGTGACCATTTTGCTTAACCACCTGGTCACTGGAACAGAATGCAGTCGCTAAACAAGGAGAGGATGTAGTCTGCAACCCTGCCTGATGGTGGCATAAACTATCCGTAACTTTAAATAATAATTCTTACTTGAACTGTTTGAAATCAGTTTGAAACCTTACATTATGCCGAAGTTTCATAATGGCTGGAATGAACACTTATGAAATTAAATGGAAATTCTTTTTATACACTAACGTGGTAAAGCATTAGCAACTTTATCTCCCATATCATAAAAAATGGTGATTTTCATAATTTGCTGTTCATTTATAATAAAAATTATGATAGAAGTATTGAATATTTTAGATGTGTCTAATTTCACCAACAATAAATTTAGAAGAGCACCATTTATGCCTACCTCACTTTGTTTAATACTGCCCCCAAATGGAGAAATCTTTTTTTCTGATGAATTATCTAAAAGATGAGTTTCGGTAAAATATATTTTGCAATGATGAGATAAAATACTGGAATGCCCTTCCCAAGATAATTTATAAATGCCCACGTCTTTTCTATAATACCTGATTCAAATAATCTATTTCAGCTTGAAACTTTTATGTTAAAAAGAGTCCAGTAAAGATTCTTTGCTTACCTTCTATGTCAATATTCTGATCAGGAATTTCCAATTCTATTGTGTCCATTCCTGACTCCCTCCAGGAGCCACTGAACATACTTGAAAAGTAGCCAGACTATGAACAGAAAAATCATGTATTTAAATAATAAAAAACGCTTGCAATTAAACATTTTATATGTTAAGAAAGTATAACAAAATATAATTTTCACAACAAGCGAAACTAAGGTTTCATTGGTTACACATGAATGACATTTTCTATTTGTCTCTCCTAATTTGAAAATATGCTCCTTAAATTTCAATCTTACTCATATTTTGCACCAATTCACTCTTCATTTGCCCCGCCAACCCCCCCCAACACCTCCCCGCACTGGTTTCAGTGCTTTGATCTGAACAGAATAAATGGGTTTTAATTGCATCCAAAATAGGTTATTTAATGGTTGTTCCAGGAACTAAAACTAAGATCAAGCTATGCTCTCAAATTTGGCTAGTAAACTAGTATTAAACCACACTTTATCAGCTTGACTGTAACAGGGCACTACGGCTTACTTAAACTGGAATCTAAGCATTGAAACCAGCATGCAAAGGGTGGAGGGAGGGGACTGGCCAAACCCTTGTTATACATGGCTTATACAAGTGGAGGGATCGCATCTGAACCAAATGAAGGATAACTGATTGTAAAAAAACAATGAGCATCCAAAATATATAATGCTGCCAGAACCTTGGCAAAAAATTCCTGCGGACACAACTATATAGAGGTATTGAAGAAGGAACTACATGCAAGACATACAAGTTTACGGGGGGGCAGTGGGAGAGTTGTATACTGTAGGTACGTTGACGTTTCCATACGCATACATACAGGTTGATAAGTTAATACACACATACACATACACCACTTAGGTATACCTTTTCATTAAAGTGCAATTCTTATAAAACTAGAAATAGCTAGTTTTTGATCCAATGAGGAGAAAAATACTGCTTTACTAGAACTTCACATCACAGCTGGAGGTGACCCATTATGAGCCGCCATCGCTCACTGAAGTTTACCTGAGAGATTAAAAAAATAAAATCTATTTGTACAGCAATATCCCTGTTCCACAACCAAACTTATTTTCCTTAAGCCTGACAAATCTGTATTATTCATAAATTGTGTTATTTAATTAATTACTAATATATTAGCTATGAAACCTCTCTACTGCTCTGATATCTATAGCAATAACATATGGTGACTGCAGACTAATATTTGTCTAGCTGCTGAACTTTACTTAACACTCAATATTTTCCTTTGCCACCTTCAAATTTATTGTTTGACTATGGCAGTTTTTAGTAAAACAAACAAGCTATTGTTAGCAAAGAACACCAACTTGTCAGCATAAAACAAGACAAAATTATTGAAATTTCAGTCTTAGTTTTGAGAAACTACTCACAAATACAAGAATACGAATAAGATTTTGATCTACTCCCTTTTTCATGGACACAAATTGTAATTTAACTCTCTTTAGCCAGAGTACTGTAATTTGCTAATTAGGCTTGGTCTACCTTCTTGATACAAATCTTTTCTCTTGATCTTAATTTTTTATCAGAAAAAAATACCAGATAGCTGAAACAAGCACCATGTAGAATTTAATCAGCAAGGCAGAATCTTGCAAATAGTATTCCTGAAAACGTTAACAGGAATTTTATTGCCAGATATGACCACATTGGTGACAACGTTGTCAATACAGTGAACACATTAAGGGAAAGAAAAGCAGTTTCAGCTGTTACTAGAGCGGCACGAAAAAAGGTATACCCAACTTTCTCTTCCAATAACTGAGAAGCCCACTAGAGCATAAATTGCTAATTTTTTCTTTCTACATGTAATCATGCCTATATAACTGGAGTCTCTGCTTAAAAACAGACAAACCCAAAACTGCCCTCTTACAGAATGCATCCAAATCAGTTCCATGTATTCTGATTACAGGCACCCTGCAGGATTTATGGGGTGGGGCCTTTCCTACATAAGCTTTTTGGAAACCTTGAGACGCATGGCACTACGGAAAGGGTTCCTCAGAAGCAGCAGGCCAGGAGAAATCAATGTGCATTATATAATTTTGGAGTTCATTGGTTCTCTGTACTCAGAGTTAGACAAGGCACCTTGCCTCACCCAGGTATACCTGGCTCCTGACTACTAAGGGACCAAGACCAGAAAAACAGCACATTCTTTTCATTACTTAATGTATTTTACATAGTTTCATTATGAGACTGTCTAGTAATCCAGTATTATTCCCAAATTCTACCAATGGCTTATCTAGCCCCACTGCTGTGTCTACGGTGGAGCTGAGATTTCAGCCAAGCACCTAAAGCATGATAAAACTGTTAGGTGGGGGGGGGGGGGAAACCTTACTTCCAATGTGGAAAGATCCAGTATCACTGCCTGACTGCACCTACCTTTCCACTACAAAGCTTTAGAAGTAGACAATTTTTGAGTAGAAACAAATGTTACTATTGAAAAACATATAGATATAATGCAAAGATCTGTCCTGGCCTAAAGAAATGAAAATACTTAGGTTAATACTTGGAACTTTTATTTGTAATAAGCACCAGGAAATCTTGATAGATTAGGCCAAGGAAGGATACCAGAAACAAACATAACAACTAGCAAACCTCTGGCCATATACAAACATACATAACCACCAGATCAAGCACCTAAACACTGATAAAGACTATTATTTATAGTATTTAAGCACACACATTATCCAAGAATATATCACTTATAATTTTTTCCACTAATTTAAAAGATCTAGATAAAGACAGAATATATCTATACTTTATTGCAGTTTTTAGAAGCTTAAAGTTGCCAGCAAGAGATTAATAAGAAATGCATACCAGAGATGGTACAACCATTTGGTTAGGTGGGGGGAGGACTACCTATTTGGAATACTTAATGGGAAGTGAAGAGTGAATGGAGCAACAGTGCAAAGCATGCAAGGCCATGACACATGGCAGGTGGACAACTCCTTTGTTGTTTCAAGGAACTCATTTTGGTTTTTTAAATTGTCAAGCTTATTTTGGGCTAACACTAATTTTTCCACATTTCCTGCCTTACACTATGGGAAAGCATGCTATGGATTTTCTGCAACTGAGCTTGAAAGAGGCTCCAACAAAGAAATTCAAAAGCTGCATGTCCATCCTGGTCTCTGGGATTTACTCTCCACTACTACAGGAGTAGGCAGAAGTAAGATCTGGACTATGAATCCATTACTTATGATTGTACATTTCTTGCCCCTTAATTACAATGCCAAAATCAAAAAGCTTGAAGCTACCAGGATTGGACCTTTGTGCAAGAACTATGAGTAATACTGAAAACTGAAGTTTAGGGCTCAGTTATCCTTTAGCTCTACAGTTTCTCATTTCATACTGAGCTACTAGCCACATTATGACTATGCTCCCACAATATGCCTAAACACGGTTTGCTTAAACACAGTTTATTAAACTAAATATACTGAAGTTGGATGGGCTTATAAATTGTGGGTTTATAACTCCTCTGAGTTGCAGAGAAGCAAACTATCTTGGACTGAGTCTCAAGGAGAACCATATCTGTTTCCTGCACCACACTCAAGTCAGCAGAGCTCTGCATTTAAGTATTAAAAAAAGGTCTCAAGCCTGCCTACCTCTGTCCTAATAATATTGGACAGAGAATATCTGAGAAACACAAGGCAATTTTTACCTGACAGAGGTATATCTTGTGCAAGTTCCATTCTTCTCCCAGGGCACAAATTTTCACATCACTGTTTTCTCCGTTCAGAAACAGAGTCTGATAAATATACTTTGAAGTGCTTTTTAGCTTTTTCCTGAGTTAGGAAAAGATAAACATAAAATGTTAAATTCTAATATATGTGATATTACGTAATATTAATCCAATTGAAGAAAATCTCTGTAGCTCAGGGTTGAACTGTGGAGTTCTTGGTGTTCTCTGAGCTTGGTTGTTAGTTTGTAGTTGTTTCGTGACCCAATTAGGTAACATCATCAGTGTGAAACAGGGTGGTTTTTTTGCCTGTTACTAGCTTGCCCTGCTGGTTTAGTTAGGGGTCTGGTTTCTTCCTTGGTGGATCCTTGATTAGAGTATTTTCTTCCACCTAATTGTTTGTCTGGCACGGATCCCTGATTATCTGAGTGTTAGCTGCCAGAGGGAAGCGTTCTAGTCTTTTTGTTTCCTTCCTAGGTTTTTTATTATCTCTTTTGAACAATATGTAAAGATGGTGTATCTATAAGCTGCTATATATCAACAAGCCACAAACCCCACCCTCCCTTGCACTAATGTTGTTACCTAGTTGGGTCATGAAACGTCTGCAAGCAAACTACCAAGCTCAGAGAACCCCGAGAACTCCATAATATTATATTTTAATACAATACCTTTAATATTACACGTAACATTATACATAATATTAAAGAGATTTGAACAGCTGTGTAATATGCTGCCGTACAAGCATCCTTCATTCAGTCAGACGGCTTTCCCCCAACCTTAACAGAACAGCATTTTTCAGGGGCAAAACATCAGGAGTTGGGGAGCCCCTTTCCCGACCAACAAGTTTTACTCAAAGGCAGAAGCTTTCCTGAGTCGCTGCTCATTTCATCGGTGACCCTTAAACAGGACCCTCCTGGGAGAAACCAGGAATCTCCCCTACAGCAAAAGGTTTCAGGCGATCTCAAAGGTCTCCAAAGGCACAACGGGAAGGTCACGAGCTCCACTGATGAGAAGTGTGTAGCCTGCATCTGTGTAACTCACCTGTCTCCCCCTCCCCAATTTAAATCCTGCATCTGCGCAGCCCCTCCATGCGTTGGACCAGTGTTTCTCAACCTTGGCGGCTTTAAGAGGGGTGGACTTCAACTCCCAGAGTTCCCCTGGGGAACTCTGGGAGTTGAAGTCTCACCCCTGGGGAACTCTGGGAGTTGAAGTCCACCCCTCTTAAAGCCGCCAAGGCTGGGAAACGCTGCATTGGGCGAGGGGAGCCCTCGAGAAAGGGGCTTCCGGGCTCCCCCAGGTCTTCTGCGCCATGGCCTCAAGGCTGCCGGCGTTGTGCGGTCCTCCTCCCCCCTCGCCCGGGGCTGCTTCCAAACCCCCTCCGGACCCC